TCAAAAAGCCCCATGTGGTGTCCAGGAACATCTTTGGTGCTTGTGGATTCCAGTAGTCCTGTATTTTCCACTCTGGGACTGCTGAGGGACTTTCTGTCAACATTCCTGGTGAATTTGCATCAGGAGAACTGGCCTCAACCGGAGATCTATTCTACACTGACAGTTTAAGTTTAGAATTATTTTATCTAGAAGGCTGCATTAAATTGATCAAATGTGACATTTAGAGACATTTATAATGTAACAAAAGATTTTTTATTTCAAACAGATGCTATTCTTTTGTCAGCACAACTGTTTTCAATAATAATTAATGTTTCTTGAGCACCAAATCAGCATCTTACAATGATTTCTGAATGATCATGTGACAGGACTGAGTGTAGACTGGAGTATTGACTGCTGTGCTGACAGTTCAGCTTTGCCATCACAGAAATAAATTACATTTTAAAATATAATAAATTAGAAAACAGTTATTAGAAATTGAAACATTTCGCATGACTGTTTTACTGTATTGCTGATCAAATAAATGCAGCCTTAATAATCATAAAAGACTTTGTCTGAAAAAAAATAAATATTTTAAAGGGTATGTGTTCAACATCTTCCTTGCACACAATTCACAACCACTCAGCCACGATTACTGCAGGACTAAACATTTAAGTACACACTAAATAATATGATTCACCAGCAAAACAGTGAATGACTCATTCATGTATGATGGGTTGATGATGAGTTCTTGATATACTATTAATAATCATATTTTGACTTCAGTTGATTATTCTATGACAAATCCTCAGCTCAGATGGATTTATAATAATTAATAATAAATGGTGATTATTCTCAAATCATTAACACCTCACAATTTGACAAGCTTGGTTTATATTTTTTGTCCTCCATTTTTCAGACACAATTACAGATGTTATTACAAGTGCGTCTACCCAGCAGATTGATGGGAGAATATAAGCGCAGCATGTCCTTGAGTGTACACAAGGGTTTTGCAAACCACGTCAGCCACACCTCAGACAACACAAATATCCTGTAATTTACTGCCGATGCTTCTACCGTGCCGTCCAAGCCGGCGTTAACATACAAGACTCAACAGAAGGACAGGAGAAGGAGGGGTTTTCACAGCTGATACTGGCAGCAACTGTCGGCTACACTTAGCCCCCATCCGAAAAATGACCATCTGTATGCCGGCACAGAGAGCAGCGATCTTGCTCAGAATAACAAAAGGATGAAGAGGACACTTGAAGTTTCCAATGCCCATTTTCTCATTTATTTAAATGAGAAGCTTGTGTTTGACAAATATAGGCATGTAAATTTCCACTGAAACCAAATCGCTCATATGCAAAAATCATCTCACCCGGCATAAACGAGGCCACGCCTCTAAATTCATATCACAATTCACATCCATTAGGATCTAAACACATCAAATACCAAAAACCATGCACACATCACAAACACAGATCTGTTGCTTTAGAAACTAACTCCCAGTGTTTAGGGCTGCGATTCATCCTCACCAACTTTAGCTGCTCTAAAACCATCACTTAACATATTAAAAACAAAAATGGACTTACAATGCATCTTTACAGGCTGGAAAACGCTGCTCTGTCTTTGGCTTTTCCGTATCTGAAATGATGAAATGCCCGTTTCTGCGGTTTCCTTAACGCCTGACTCCAAAATGATGGCCGCTTACTCACGCCCTACAAATGTGCATGTAGCACATTCATTTTCAAACACAGAGCTTTCCCCTCCTCCGTAACCACACCCTCAACCGGCACCATCACCCCCTACAGTATCCTCCACCCTCCCCTCACCAACAACACTCCTCGTGTTCTGATTGGTTGAAATCTCTCACACCACAAGACTCATCCCCCATATATGGGCATACCAACCCACTGAAGGCGAGGAGGGGGAGGAGCTTTAAAACATGCGCGCCACTCTCACTCTCATACATACAAACCAATGCAGATGCTGTGAGGTTACTACAGTGCAACTTTGAGTGATACGTCAGCTTACAAAAGCCAGCACAGCTGCACTGACATCAGTCTATAGACACGTAACCCACAAACACACATCTGTCCCGTTTACACGCTGCCATAATAATGCTGACATTGTGCTGCTGTGCATTTAAATACAGGCGCATCTCAATAAATTAGAATGTCATGGAAAAGTTCATTTACTTCAGTAATTCAACTCAAATTGTGAAACTCGTGTATTAAATAAATTCAATGCACAGACTGAAGTAGTTTAAGTCTTTGGTTCTTTTAATTGTGATGATTTTGGCTCACATTATTTAATACACGAGTTTCACAATTTGAGTTGAATTACTGAAATAAATGAACTTTTCCACGACATTCTAATTTATCGAGATGCACCTGTACATGGGTCTACTTGAGCTCTCTGCTCCAATTTGCCGCCTTTGTCGCATGAGCACCCACAAGTGCAGCTAGCTGACCTTCAAGAGTTCGTCTCATCTAACCAAAGAAACCAAAACCTAAATATGGAAAGAGATGTGTAAGCAAATGTCTCCTAAAATGATCTGTTCTCATATGAGAAATATAAAAAAGCACTACATGTGTATACAGTGTGTGCTGTGCAAGTTTTGTAGGGTTTGAAACAAGAACAGAATTAGGTCAGAATAAACTTGAAGCTGCTTTAGATGGCCTAATTTTAGTTGATAAATGACTTTAAATACTCAAAAAATTTACTGTATGTGACTGACAGCTCGGTCCTGTATTTCTTGTTTGTTTCTTTTACAAAGCTAATGAGGTGAGGTTCTGGGAAAGAAGAAATAAACGTGAGACTTTTTCAGCCATTGACATAAACTAGGAACTTATTGTAGTGGGAAAATTTAGTGCATGCAGTTTCAAAGATGATCTGCTCTATTTACATGCGTCACTGGTATGCAAATTACTTTGCTCTTCATTTATTGCATTAGCATCCTGTTTCTGTGAACGTTTTTTTTTTTTTTTTTTTTAAAGAAATTGATACTTTTCTTCATCAAGGATGCATTAAACTGATTGAAAGTCACAGCAAATACTTTTACATTGTTAAAAAAAGATTTCTATTTAAAATAAATGCTGTTCATTGAAGCATCATGGCTTCCACAAATATGTAAGCTGCACGACTGTTTTCAACATTGATCATATTAAGAAATGTTTCTTAAGCACAGAATAAGCATATTAGAATGATTTCTGAAGAATCATGCACTAAAGACTGGAGTAATGATGCTGAAAATTCAGATTTCCATCACAGGAATAAATTACATTTTTAAATATATTCAAATAGAAAACAGTCCTTTTAAATTTTGTAATAATATCTCACAGTGACAAACTGTTTTTACTGTATTTTGATCAAATAATGTAGCCTTGGTGAGACGTTTGAACCTTTTTTATGTAAAAAGATAATAAATATATGTGAAGTGCAGGCTTCTGACCCCAAAGATAGTTTAGTTTAGAACAGGCATGTCGAAACTGCACGTATATATATATATATCACTAGATCTACATCTTAACTTTAGACACACTGAAGCAGGAAGCTACATTTTTCTTTAAAAAAAAATTCTCTGAGATTTAAGGACGTGAATGTAATTTGGCAGCAAAAGAAAATGACAGAACAATATGCACATAACTATAGAGACATGCTTGTTTTGTCCTTGTGCACAGCGAATATTGTTATTTAATGGAGGAAAAAGAGCAATCTTTTTATAATGTCAAAAATAGAGTCCATTTAACAGTGACTGGTTAAAGTTTTAGTAAACATCACCCCAATTTCAATATGTCATCTTAAAACAGTTCACTAATATATACCAGTTCTTATTTGATCTCATATGACCTGAAATTTAAAGCTTTTAGAAAATGGTCATGTGAAAACATCGAGAAACTCTGAAACCAAATATTCCAATTGTGTATTATTACATTTTAGCACGTCATGTAAAATACTGACTGATGTAATACAACCTTTTCTTTCATGCCTGAATTTTGTGTCCTTATCCCATTACACATTTCCCAGTTTCACTTGGAACAGGAAATTACTCCTTCTGCACACACAAACAGGAAAGCGCTGTTTCCTTTGAAACAGGAAAGTTCACATTGACATCATTGTCCCTCCTTCAGTGTCCTTCCATGCAACTCAATGCACAAGATGTAGTCAAATATATACTAACACTATATATACACATGCTATTAATTTTACAATCCTTAACATTAAAATAATTGAACGCAATTAAAAGGGTCATGCTGCAAAAAAGAACATTATTTTGTGTATTTGGTGTAATGAAATGTGTTTATGCGGTTTAAAGTTAAAAAAACACATTATTTTCCACATACTGTACATTATTGTTTCTCCTCTATGCCCCGCCTTTTTGAAACGCGTCTATATTAAAATAAATATGTAAAAATACAGATCACAATGCAAACGGGAGAATTATGTTACGGTCGTCACGATCGCAATGACAACATGCAGGATCAACACCGTTCATATACCGCAGAGTAAGATTAAATTAATTTACATTTAACCAGATTAATATGGAGAGGCACTCTAATATAGACCTTCATTTATGTGTTAACTTTCACTGCACAGTATATGACGTGAGAACAGTTCGCTATTTGGGTTTGTAAGTTAGCATGGACTCACTAACTTTACCGTTAGCTAGTTTTAGCCAGATACCTTGCTGAAGCACAAGATGACATTAACGTTCTGCTTGAGCAGATGAAAAGTGTAAATTAATGACAGTATGACAACCAGAAAATGAAAGTTTTTGTCTTCATTGTGATTGGGGTTGAATGCTATTTTGCTCTGTTTTGGTTGGATTTAGGAAATGGAATAAAATAAATTACATTGCGTATCCTCTCAGGATAACTGGAATTAGTGTTACAAGTACCCTAGGCACATCGTTTTCCATTTTTGTAGCATAAACACCATCAAACCGATGCGAGCTTCGGATCTTCCAATGTTTCTCTATGGCGCTGAAACCTAAAGATGTCCGAGTTCCGCTCCCCGTGCAACTGATACTCGACTGCCATTGGCTCATCTGCGTTTGAGGGGAGGGGCTTACCGATAGATCAACTGCAAACTTTTATCTCGCATTTTTTTCTTGGAATTACAAGTTTATATGTCGCAATTCTGACTTTTCCCTTCAGAATTCTGAGTTTACATTTCACAATGTTTTTTTATTTTTATTTTTTTAAATTTACACCTACCAGTTCTGTTTTTTTCCACCATCACAAAATAATAATTAAATAAATAAATAAGGTAACTGCGACTTTTTCTCTCACAATTTGGACATGTAAAATGCAAGAAAAAATGTCAATTGTGAGAAAGAAAGCTGCAATTACTTTATTGACTGATTGATTGTGTGGCAGCAGAAATAAGATTCCACAGCACAAAATCCCTAGCACCAAAGTGGGCACTGAACCGAATGAGTCAGACCCTCAAACCTCAAGGAAACTACCTGATGTTCAGTCAGTGATCTCCTGTGGCCTGTTAACTCACTCTGAATGCAGTGGATCATTTCATTCACTGCATCAACAACCACACACTAACTCAAGAGCTCATCATTTGACTATCCTAGAAACCCCATTAGGTGACAATTTGCATTTCTCGGGAATCATTACTTACGCACAGGCAAACATGTCTACCTATGAGTACCAAGGGTAGTGTAAATAGTTAGGTGGTAATGATGATGATGTTCCTCTCCACCATAGTCAGACCTTCGAGCAGCCAATGACGGCGTGGCTCTGGATAGCCATGCGATCACGTGACCGCTGAGCAAATATCCGATCCTCAGCGCTGCTGCCGTGGCAGAGAAGCATCTCTGGAGGAAGGTTACTCGCGCGTCAGTTTGTACTAGTGATGGGAAGTCCGGTTCTTTTCCGCGAACCGGTTCTTTCGGACAGTTCGTTTCAATGAACCGGTTCAAAAAAACGGTTCATCGGTTCTTTTACGCCCTAACGTAATGACGTCATTCACGATGACGTAATGATATCAAGTCTATCGTCCCGGGCCGGGATGAAAATACACATTCAAATATATAAAGTTAGTATTCATAATTCAGTCAGTTAAAACATCATAATCTGAAAAGTTTACAATTAAGTTTTGCAACTAAGCACCCAAATACAGTAACAGGCAGTGATGTGCATACGAGGATTTAAGTCTTGAAGATATAAAGTAAATAAATTAGTTGTCATCAGCGCAGAAACCATAATCCACTTACTATACATAATCCATTGCGATTTATTTGTTATTAAATAAACTTACGTTTCGCCAGATTGCCCTTCATTCAAGTCGATGCACCCGTTTCTTGACTCGAGAACGAGAATCAGCTCATCGGTTCTCATATCGGATGTGTCCGAAAGAAACGGTTCTCTGTTCAGTGTATTGGTGATCCGAAAACCGATGCAACCGGATCTTGACTCGAGAACGAGAACTGCTCCAACAGTGGGCGTGTACGTTCGTTATCCGGCTCGCTGCACACATGCTGCTCTGCTCGTGTTCATCTTCAGTTCTCTCTTCACAGCAGTTCAGTCAGTATACTGTTTGAGTAAACAAATTACTCCGGGATATTGGTTTATTTTGACTCAGAGGGAGTGTCAGCCACGTTAAAAAGTGAATAACTTAAGTAATTTGTGGATTAATGCTTGCTGGAGACGCGAACCGTTTCAAACGATTCAATCCGATTTGGTGAACTGGTTCAACCAGTTCACTAAGAAGAACCGGTTAAATCGAACGATTCGTTCGCGAACCGGACATCACTAGTTTGTACTACAAATCTCGCGGGGATGTGGCTGCTAGGGTTACCAGACAATTAAAAAATTGTCACTCAATCACCTTTTTGTGATTTAAAAAAAAAAAGTGTTGAGAGCTGCATGTAACTTCATTTTTTAAATGTTACATATCGTATATAGTGCAAAATACTTTGAAGTTGAGTTTTTTCGGTATTAAGTTTTTTTTAAAGGGGTCCTATTATGCTTTTTCAACTTTAGTTAGTCTGTCTTTATGTTGCTGTTTGAGCATAAAAAAGACCTGCAAAGTTACAAAGCTCAAAGTCCAATTCAAAAGGAGATATTTTATTTAACAGAAATCACTTTTCAAAAACTACAACGAAGGGCTCGTTGATGTATGATGTATGCAAATAATGTGTTTTTCGAACAACCTAGTATGAGAGACTGTTCTAGTACACCCCCGAAACAGGACCCCTTTAAAGATTTATTTTTGACTTGATAAAGATTTTAAATGATATGACATGCGTATGACAGACATGCACGTGTTCGCACGTTTCACACTTGAGAAACCTGAGCAACCGGAATGTCTTGCTTGGTCGCTAATCAGGCTCATGTAAACACAAGTAACTAGTAGCAATCACAGACTTAACTTTTAGCATCACTAATATAACACAAACAAATACATTCTCATTGAGATATTTAATGTTGCACTCACCGTTAGTTAATAATATCCGGATGTTCCAGGTGTTAAAAGTTGTCACTGCAAGTTTTATGCAAATTCCAGATTCAAAGATCGATTTGAAGTCAGTTGTGAATCGCGATGAGAGAAAGATAACGCACGCTGATGTGTCTGTTTCTGTTTATGCGTGAGACTCCCAGAAACACACACCGGTCGACCTCACGAAGCTCACGCCTGCTCATAAACTCATGAGAGGAGAGCGCCAATAATATATAATGAGAGTCGCTTCCCTCAAAGCTCTCGAGCGCCACCTGCCGTTCACTTGTATTGATTCCCGAGTAACTCTCGAGCATGCTCTTCATCGACACCGCCGTCTCCTTGGTAACCAGGTACACTAACGCCAAAACTGAGAAATCAGTTTCACACAATATACTGCATTTCACTCTTTGATCATCATGGTTCTGAACACGTAAACATTCGTAATCTAAATAGTGTAAAGAATAAACGAAGGCATTGTACAACGTTTACAACACATTTTTAATTGGGATTTTATATAATAATAATAATAATAATAATAACATGTAACCGGAAAGACATGTAACCAAAGAACTTCTGGAATGGGTCATTTTTAGCACTTTTATATGGCAGTTAGCGCGGTAAAATGACAACTTCTTGGCGGCGAAGAGCAGAATCGAGGCGCGTTTATGAGCCGCTCTCCGCGGGAATCGAACATTAACCGCTCGGCGTAGAATGCGTTAGGAGGAGCTCGAGGTTGGCCCCGCCCCCTTTCGCTTTTTAGCCCTTGACGTATGAAGAGGACGGTAGCACTACAGAGACAATAGCAATATTCCTAGCTCTTCAGTGGATAGAAGAAGTACAGCCAATAAGGTCAGTAATTTGTACAGACTCCCTTTCAGTTTTAAATAGCTTGCTAAGTGGAATTTCAACAGCAAGGCAAGATATCATTTTTGAAGTGATGCAGAGTCTATTTAGAATAAGACAATCTGGTCTTATGGTAAATTTCCTGTGGATACCATCACATATGGGTGTGGAAGGAAACGAGGAGGCAGACCATCTGGCTAAACAGGCTCTGAAACATGCACAAATTGACATTAAAGTGTCAATGAGTAAAGCAGAAGTAAAAGGGTTAATTGCAAATGAAATAAGAAAGAAATGGCAGAAGGAGTGGGATAGTGGAACAAAAGGTAGACACTTTCATCATGTTCAAGAGAAAGTAGGTCAAGAAAGAAGAAAGTTTGGCAACAGGAAAGAAGACGTTTTAATGTCAAGAATGCGTATTGGACATTGTCTGTTAAATCAGTGTCTGTATAGAATGGGGAAGCATGAAACTGGAAAGTGTGACAAATGTGGTCATGCAGAATCAGTAGAACATGTACTTATAGAGTGTGATGCAGCGCAAGATATACAGTAGGTGGCGGTAATACTCCTAAGGAGTGAACGGCCATTGAACAAAAAGAAGAAGAAGAAGAGAACGGTAGCAACAGTTGCCTCGAGACCCCCGCTCGCCATAGTGACTGTAGTCGTGGAGACAGTTACTTACCAACGGGAGCAACACTCAGCAACAGCAGCAGCAACTGGAGGAGAGAGAGAGAGGGAAAAGAACAGTAAAGCCAGGGCAGATCTAAGCAGAAGGCTGAGGTGAATATCTTTTTACTGCTTTGACAAATCAAAATGAATTGAATGTAAATTTAACGGGCCATGGAGGTTGAGTAATGTACATCTTAACGTGTTTTCACGCCCCGATCTCCTTCGCTGTCTGGAGTCACATTAGCACGCTAGTTGGTTAGCTCATCTGCTTTGCTAACTTAGGTCAGTTTGTTTTGAGATCGGTTAAACTAATTAGCGGAGAAATCCAAGTGCTGTGTTTGTGCGCCGAATGCCATACATGTCGGTTATTGCGTCTGTAAGATATCTGTAAATATGTTAATCAGATGGGTTAAATTACGAGCTAACTGGCTAACCAGTTACCGTAACTAGGTAAACTTTCTTCAAAAGCTGTAACTGTTCGAGGTCGGTCACAGGAGCAACGTAACCGCTTTGTTCCGCCGTTGCTTTGCTTCAGGAATCGCTTTAATTCTCGTGGAAGTGCGTGAGTCGATTCGGAGATACTGATGTGGACCCGCCAGGTCCGGGTTGACTAACAAGGTCAATTTAAATATCTTTAATTGTAAGAGAAACATGTCGTTTTTAGTCATGCCATGTTTCTTTGGGTCTGGAAGCTTCAGGTTTGGATGCATCAACAGGTTGCTGAAGTCGGTCTGAAGAGCGGTGCCCGATAAAAGTGATGCATTTCGGTTTATATTATAATACTGACTTTACAAAGTGTTCGCACGTTATTTAGATGTTCGTGTAAGTTATTAGATGCAAATGTATTTCCCTAATTTTAAAGGGAATTGAATTAGGCTTCTTGTCATCCGGTTCAAATCTGATTCTCTTTATCTGCACTAATATGTTTTGCAGGCTGTTGTTAAAGGGTCAGGGACGTGAATCTCGTTTTTTTTGTCCGAATCTATTAAGTTATTTAGAAATATAATTAAAATGCGATTTTATGCAAAACTGACTTCAGCACAACATTCGAAAATGGACAAATCATTCTGATTTAGTAGGTGCTGTATCTGCCTGGATAAGAAAAAATAAGAAATGAAAACGATAAACATTTTGGAAAATATTTGTCACTTTATATTTAAAGTATTAATACTTGTGATGATATTTTATTGCTATTTCATTAAAAAGTAGTTAAGTAGTTTTATTTTAAAACATTACTAATATTTGAAATATTTTGAAAAATCAACTCAATTTTCAACACCAAGTTGGTGTGGTTAGGGTTGTCAACCTGCAGGAAGTCATTTCATTGTGTTGACATGTGACAAGATAATCACAAAGAGGACCCCTTTAGACCCTAATGACCCTGTGTAAAATTCATTACATTAAAAAATGCATGTATGTCCAGTAACTTTATGAAGACCTCTTAAATTCATGAGCATTATTATATTTGTATCATGAATTGTATTTTAAAAATTAGTATTTTTACCATAAAATATGTTTGAAAATATGAGATAATTTTATTGCATTTTTGAAGCCATTTAATTTTTTTTTAAATTGAAGCCCTACCAACTAACAAAAAGCATGTTTTACATGCTGTATTTATTTATTTATTAATTAATTTATTTATTTATATTTAATTTATTTTTTAAATGTATGAATCCAACATGCATACAGAACTACTCATTTTGATCATTCTTATTTGTCATTGACCCCAGAAACAGTCTGCAGGTCATATTTTAAACCGCATAAAACAGATAATCAGTACAGTTTATATTTGATTATGCTATATTTCCTATGCTTCATAATCCCACATTGTGATATTAAAAATAAATAAATTTCACTGCTTTACATGGCATTTCCCAATATAATCTAAATTAGTCTGAAACATTCAAATTTTGATGCTTTATTGACTGCATTCTTCAGGATTAATGTTCCAAAACTTTTTTTCTTTCATCTATGAGTAATACATGTATGTATTTTCTCCACCTTTTTAAATGTTGTATGCAAGTAGAGCTGAGTGTCAGTGATGTGAAACACCGTACTGTTAATTGTGAGCAAATGAGATATGTATTTGCATTATCCTCATAATGAGATCCGGGGTAGCTGTTGACGCTAACAGGTTGACAACAGCTTGACTGTGCTCATCCAAAGCTGCTGTAATTATTCTAGAGTTGCATCGTGTCGCCGTGGCGATGTTACACCTGCTCAGCAGAGAGCCTGGTAATGAGCCCTCTTCATGACAATAGCATGCGGTCCAGGTGTCGCCCCTCATTGGGCTGTGCTTCTCTATTGATCTCTCTTTAGCCGAGAGTGTCCGTGCCACTGAAAGCACAGCTGATAATGAGGGTAATTGGCATAGAGCGAGAGGCAGATCCTGATGCAACACATAGATCATGTTGGCCGGACCGTTCCTCGCTAGCTATAACATCATGCTTGGGTAGTTTTGATTATTTCATCCTTTCTGTTTCTGCAGCAGCGGTTCGAGGATGTTTGAGATGAGGCGTTTTCACTTGTCAGAGTGGGAGTGTGTTTGTCGCTGTGTGTGACGGGTCCCTCCTGAGCTCAGCTGAAGGGGGTGAGCAGCAGAGCTCACATCAGCTGCCGACGTGTCTGTCAGGTGCTTCACTGAGCTCTGAAGTCCTCCCCGAATGCATCTTCACTACGCGACATCTCCAAAGCTCTTAAGATCCAGTTTCTGTAATGAAATATGTTGCTACAGGTGCATGTCCAGGCTGGAGGAGAAATGAATGATTCATGTAATTGAAGTTAATTATTGATGGGGCCAATCGCTGCTTCCTGGGCTGTGTGATGTCCAGTTAGCTCGTTTTTGTGGGGTTTGGTTTGCAGTTTGCATGCTACGCTCCTACAACCCAGACCTGGCCCTATCTGAGTGTGGGACGGTAGACTACACTTTGTTCTTGACATGACTGACTCCACCAATCGGAATCAAGCAATTTCATTGTTTAAATGTAAATTTGCATATGCTTCTTTTCTGTCAAATGCTATTGGCAGGACGGCTTTAACCCAGTTGGCAAATTTGGATGCAACCTGGGGCCCCTGTAACAGGAGCAGTGTTGGGCAGTAACGCATTACTTAGTAACGCGTTACTGTAATTTGATTCCTTTTTTAGTAACGGAGTAATTTAACGCGTTATTATTTTCAAAATAGAAATTAGAGTATAGTTACAAGCCGAGGTCTCTATACGTTACTGCCGCGTTACATTGCTGACAGAATGCAGTGTTTTATAATCTAGAGATTGTAAAAAGGATGTAGCACACGCACTGTCAAGTCAAGTGCCAGTGGATTAGAGACCTGCTCCTGCGAGACCCGACGCAACAGATTGCGGTGCGGGACAAGATGGGCGAGTGCTGGTGTGAGCAGGTATACATATATATATTATATATATTTTATTCTCCTGCATCCTGCACACACATGAGTGTCTGTAGACACTCATGTGTGCAAATACACAAATCTGAATGGCTGTTTAAATCATTTAAACATGATTCAGAAACAGAAAGTAGTGCAGCTGCTTTGTTTACAGGGTTTACGGGTTAACGGCTGCATTTAAATTAATTATTATTATTAGTTCGGCAGTTTAGCGCCATCTGCTGTCAGAGAGTGAAAGTGCGCTTTCATCCAGAGCGTCTCTCACATGTTCCGCCATGTGCTTTTCGTCCGCGCTT